CTGTATGTTATATTTGTAATATATTTTAGGGGTATTGGGAATCAAAGTCAAAATTATGCTACCATGGGATCCCAATGGCAAGAGCGGCCCGAAAAAGCCTCTTCCTGATTATGTATCGATTGTGGAGCCGAAAGAAGAGGTTCCGCCATCAGTTCCAATCTCCGAGGTGAAACCTTCAAAAGACATACCCCAACCTACTCCTCTCGCCGTATAACAGTAATTTAAATGCATTTATATGCATTTAAAAAATAAATACAAAAATAAGATCTGTGTTGTGTTTTATTTCCAATATTTTTTCAACATATTAAAAAAAGGATTCATGCTAGGTAAGAATATCTACTTAAAGAGAAACTTTTATTTTTTATTTAAAAAGATTTATTAATATCTTTCACAATATTTGCTACAGTATACCCGATAACTATTTTCATTTATAAAACCATTCTGAATTATTTTTAAACATAAATATCCAAATATCCAATAGAAAATAAACAAATTTACATTAGAATAACAATTGGTAAATAAACATATATGACATATATTAAACATTAAACTTATTCCAGAGCTTATCCCAAAAAGTGACAGATCAACCATTCCGTGTAATTCAGAAATATAAATTTTAATAACTATTAGATATTATACACAACACTCCCCAATACCACAAAACTGTTCGAAATTAATCAAAAAAGAATTGATACTTAATCAACATTGAACTCCTTAATCAGTGAACTTCATTATACACCATTATCTTACCAGTTACAAATTTATGGTTCAAAATTACACTTAAATCATAAAGTTAATATATGTGCATAATTATATTTCTATTAAATATAATGCCTTCTACAATAAGCCATTAATTAGAAATTAGAAGCTGGAATTGATCATTACAGTTGTCAATTTCTAGCTTCTAATTTCTGATTTATGACCAATGGCTTATTGTAAAATGGCCATTAAATTTAAGACTAAAAAATAGAATCCAAAATTTAGCAAAGTTATTAAGAGTTAGGTTAAATCTTTAAAACTTATAAATTTTATATTTATAATTAGTACAAATCCTCACATTTTCACTTAACAT